CCTCAGACTGTTCTGAACTCTTTGTTCTTCTTCAGTTGCTGAATTCACCAATTAGATTTTTTGGCAAGTCTGACACAAAATGCTGGCTGCGTTCTGAAAGGGTGGTTTGTGGTCAAAATAAAAGAACCTTGACAGCCTATTCCTACAACCAAACAAATCCACATTAAGTAGCCCCACCACATTCTAGACTTGTTTCCAATGGCATAATCGCCACATACTGTAGCTGAAGATGTGTAGGCTAACTCATCTTGTACTCTTGTTGTAGCTTTTCATGACAGGAACACAATGCACTTCAATTATAACCCTGTCACCTTCTTGGTGGCTGACCATCTTCTTTTTAACTGGATTTCCCTGAGTGCTGTAGAAATGGGGACAGTCTTTTTGTCTTTCTGCACTATTGCACCCAGGTTTTTTTTTTTTTTTCTTTTTCAAAAGAGCACCTCTCCAACCCTCAAAGGCTTGACATTAGTGATACTTTGCAGCAGGTTCCTTTGGAGAGTCTTTCTTGTTTCCTCTTGAAGTCACACAAGAAAATATACTGTCCTTCATTAGAGATCTTCTGCAAGCTTGACAGTCCAGAAAAAGTTGCCATAAAAAGCATGGTGAATTTTCACATCAAGTTCCGTGTTAAATCGTAAAAAATTGATAATTTGATTCAATCATGCATTTTATTGTTGTGAAAATATTCTGTTACTGTATCATTTATCATTTGATTAAGAGATCCTGCTTCACCAATATTTCAAAACATTTTCAGGAATCCATACATAAATGTTCTCATTTACCCATTGACACTTACATGTAACACGTGCCGACGAAAAGTCAAAATTTTGGAGAAACCAAGAAGGCAAGCACAATGCGCAGTAAATTTTTAAAAGTCAGATTTTCCAAAAAACAAGCTCCAGTGAAAGAGGACTAATTAAGGAACTTGTTTCTGGCGAAAAAAGCGATAGGTGCATATTACCTTTTAACTAAAAAATCAAGATGAAAGATAAAAATTGCTAAATATTTTTGCATGTGTGAAAATGGGCATGTGGATCATATTTCAAAAGGGAATATGCAAATTTGTCCGTGAGTGAAGAGATCTCAAGTTCCATGGAATCTATCAATAAGAAGCAAGACGAAAATGGCCAAGAAATATTTCGGGACGTCAAATTTATTCAAAACAGTTTTTGATTTGCCATTATAAGCGAAAAACGTACAAATTTCTTATGTGTACAAAGCCCACACAGTAAAATTCATCATGCTTAGATCGTTGTTTACTTGCCTTCATGGCTAGAAATTGCACAGCATTATGTTGAAAATTCTAAAAAGACTTTGATTTGAGGCAAAATCTTCTATTAAACTATACTTTTTGAACACATTGTTACTTGAACATAATATTTATCGTGCCAGCGAATCGTCAAATTGTTGCCAGGCCCTGCTTGAAGTCCGAAAGTTCAGTTTTCACTTTACGTCCATAATTTGCATCGCCTTAGAGAATCGTAGTGTCGTTGACTCAAGAGCTTATTCTGTCACCTTTAAGAC